GACTTCAGATCTCCGCACCTGTCCCCAGCAGCCCCTGCCTCAGATCATACACCAGTGTGCAGGTCAGTGGGCTGTGTGTCCTCAGTCCTCAGATCTAGATGTCCCCTGAAGCCTCCTGTGCTGACAGGCGGGGCTTCGGGAAGCTGACCGGACTGTAGGATGCAGAGCCCAGTCGCTGTGGGAGGCGAAGTCTGATCGAAGGAGGCCGACGCAGGGGCGTGGCCTGGAAGGGTGCACCTGCCTGCCTGCTCTTCCCTTGGTGCTCTGCCTCCTGCCTACCATGCCCCAAGCAGCTTGCCTTGCCAGGGCCCTCTGCCCTGCTGCCTTGCCTTGGAGGCAGCCGACTGTGAACTACAACGTGAGCCAAAATAAACCTCTCCTTTAAGTTTCAGTGTCCATATTGTATCTCAGTGACAAGAAAACACCTAAGACACCACCCTCTCTGGCCTTGGCCATAGCGAGCAGTGGGACACATGCTGTGATGACACGGGAGTGACCTTGGCTGAGGGGACTGCTGAGCCCTCTTCTCAGTGACCCTGGGCTCACCGGGCCCTGGCCAGGTGGCCTGCTGCCTTCTCTTCTCTGCTCCCCAGCTCTGTGTCCCCCTCAAGGATTGGCCTATCCCGGAATCGGTGACAGAGGGGGCCCCTTTGGACAGGGCAAGGCCAGGGCTCAGAATGGTGCTGGTGCAGGTGGCGTTTGGTGACAGAAGATTCCCTGGGTGGAGAGGGGACAGGAATGGGGACCAAGACACAAGAGGTCTGAGGTGCTGGGCTGATATGTGGTGGCCTAGGCCCCACACAAGTGCCCTCATGCCTGCCGAGATCTGCGCCAGGCATGACGGGGTCCAGTGGTCCCCGCTGTGCAGAGCAGGGGACAGAGGAAGGCAGGACGAAGGCCCCTTGCTCCTGCCTCGGCCTGGCCCCACACCAGCTCTGGGGACAGCTGGGCTGCCAGGTGGTGACGGGTCCTGGGCCTGTGTGAGCGTCCCAAGGGGAGTGGTGGAGGGAGGGTGGGAGTGGGCTATGCCCCCTGGCGCCATCCCTGCCTCCCTGTGACCCCCCCCCCATTGAGGCCACCTGCCCATGGGGCTGGGCCAGGAGCTTCCCGCTCCCGTGGGCCTGGCTGGATGGCGCGTCCAGCCCCAGCTCCTTCCACTGTCCCTTCACAGCCAGGGACAGGCTGGTGCAGTCAAGCCAAGGTCACCGCAGCTGAGTGACAGTCAGCCCCAGCGGTGTCATTGCAAGTGTGCTGGTCCCCAGTACAGGTCACTGTCAGCGAGGGCAGCTCCCCGTTTCACAGCTGTGCACATTGACCTGAGGGAGAAGCAGCCCCAAGGTCGTACACAAAATAGCAAGCACACTGGGGAGCTGTGGTGACCACTGTGCCCTGCGTGTGATCCTCAGGTGTCCCTGCCCTTCCCCCTGGCAGCAGGGAGGTCTGTCTGGCTGGCTGGCGGGAATCGGCATCTGGCTGTGCAGATGACTTTGACCTCCTGCCCCAGAGGTCAGGGAGGGATTCCTGTGGGTGGCAGCAACGGGACCACTGACCCATGTTCCCAGGTGAGGCAGGGTGCAGGGGTGAGGGAAGCAGGCACGGGACCCACAGGTGGGAAGCTCCTGGCAGGCACAGGATCCAGAGACCACAGGTGGGTGGGCACCACTGGGGGTCCCTGGGGCCACGGGAGCCACAGAGGGATTTAGTGGGTGTCAGGGCAGGGCAGAACTGCCTCTGGAGGTGCCTGCTGCCCCCATCCATGGCCATGGCAGTGAGGGCACTGAGGGGACTGGCACTTCATGGCAAGGATCAGATCTGGGGTCCCCAGCAGCAAGGCAGGAAGGGCATCGTTACAGCAGTGGAACAGCATGGGCAAAGGGCAAGGGAGGGTGGCCGGGGCCAGGCGGGGCTCGAGCTCTGTGCTCAGCATGGACCCTGGAAACAGAAGAGAGGGGGGAGTGGCTGGGGACAGACAGGTGTGGACAGGACAGGCTGGGGGCTGCAGGCCCCCAGACGGTAAGGTTGGCATGGCCTCCACGTGGGCCCCTCAGCCATTGGGCCACCTGGGAAGAGTCCCAGCAACCCTGCCACAGAGGTGGTTCAGCCGACGTTCACCTGGTGGTTGCGCTTTCTGTGTGCCCAGCCCGGCTGGGCAGTGTGTGAAGCAGCCGTACATTTGACCACAGCTGGTTGAGGCCTTGCTCATGGAGGCTGGGTGGGAGGTGACACAGCAGTCCTGGGTGCACGTCCCTGGCCCAGCAGAGCAGGGTGGCTGTTGCCCAAGCTCTGCCTCCTGGCACAGCCGGCTCCTCTGCCTGGTGACCAGGGGCTACTCAGGGTCAGAGCAGATGTGAACACAGTGTCACAAGCACCGCCATCCCTGGGGCCACTGGACAGCTAGCCTCCTTGCCCAGTATCTGGGTGATGTGGCCCTAGGAGTCCAAAGTCCGAGCCAAGGCCAAGGTCACAGCGCGGGCTCCTGTACCACACCGGGGCCTCTGTGCAGACGAGGCATCCTGGAGGGCAGACACCAGGCTGCAGCCTCCTCCTGCTCTGGGTTGCAGGGGTGCCCGGGCTATGGCAGCCTCTGGGCTGGGGTTCAGGGCAGTTTGGATTTCTAGCAGGAGCCCGAGGTCACCTCAGCTGTCCCGGGGGGCAGGGCTGGCGAAGGCTTCTGTGTGTTCTCCCCCAGGGAGGCACCTGGGTGGGCAGCTTTGTGACCAGCTGAGGTCACTGAGTGCCTGGCCTGCCAGGAGCAGTGACCCAGGCCCCAGACTCAAGCCTCTGCCCTACAGACAGGATGGGCACTGCAGTCCGGGGTCCATGGACATGCACCAAGGAGGGCTATGGGGAGTGTTGGGGCTGGGTGAGCACACGGAGGAGCGGCTTCTGTCCCCTGCTGCCAGAGCCAGAGCCCTCTGGGCTCGCCACACCAGACTTCCATCCAGGTCCTTCCAGGCAGGGTCCTAGCACCAAGCCTGGTGCCCCAGCGAGGACCCTGGGCTCCCACCCCTGCCTCTCCGTCTGGCTGCCCCCAAGCCACCCATCCCTGCCAAGCCTGGCCTCATGCCTGCACCCAGCTCCTCCTACTCCACAGAGGCAGCTCTGCCTGGAGCTGAGTTCCCATCTTGCCTCTGTGCCTCAGTTTCCTCACCCCAGAACTGGGTCCAAGGTACACAGGGGTGAGCCTGAGGACAGGGCTCCACCCACTGTACCATCTGTCCCGTGCCCTGCCCTGCCAGGGTGTCCTCTGGCTGTGCCCCCATCTGGAAAGCACCAGTATCTCCTTCTGGGACTTGCCCCCCTGCACCCCAACTCCTGGCAATCCTTACCCCACTTCCTATACCCCAAGCCACCCTGCACACCCTGCTCAGCTCTCCCCTGGCTGCCTACAGTGTTGGTGGCCTCTGTGGCCCACGAGGTGGACGTCCCTCCCAGGACCCTAGGCTGGCTGCCAGCTCTGGCCTCTACTCCCTAGACCTGGAGCCCGAGATTCCCTTGTCCCACAACACCTTCTGCACCCCGCACACCTGGGGAGCAACCAGAAGAGGCCTTGGGACTGCAGGCCTCTCCCCGGGAGGTGAGGGGACCCTCAGCTGGGGCTGGGTCCCCAGGTCTCAGGTCCTCAAGAGTCCCGGGTGTGGGCAGGTGAGTCCCTTAAGTCTCTGGGGCCACTGCTGTGTTGAGCAGGTCGTGGGGGTGGTGGGATGAGCCCACGCGTCGGGCACACAACTTGAGTGGGGCGCCTCACAGAGGTGGGCAGCACACAGGGCTGGGTCTCCAGGTGACCCTGCCAGGAGCTGTGCACAGCACTGCAGCCCATCCCACCTCTGACTGGGCATGGGGCGGGAGCTTCAGGGCAGCTTGTGGGTCCAGTGGGACACCCCAGCTCAGCTCGGTGGGAGGCTCAGAGACAGCTAGGAGGTGCTGGCTGGCTCGGGTGAGGTTGGCAGGGCCAGGTAGTGGCCTGGGAAGCACCCCAGGAGGGTGGACAGGGTGTGGGGACAGCTCAGGCCTGAGCCAAGGGCTGCAGAGAGGGAGAAGCCAAGGGTGCCGACCCTGGGTGACCCAGGACAGGATGGGCACCCGGGGCACTGTGGACAGCACCCACACCATCTGCCCCAGGCTGCTCCCAGAAGCTGCTTCTGAACTCCCAGGCAGCCTGTGGACCTAGTGACAGGGCTGGAATCAGGGAAGGAAAAGGTAAATGTCACCACAATTCCATCTTTGTTCCTCTGTGAACGAAATGGTGGGGAAATGGACAGCCGAGCCTTAAAACCAAGGCCCAGGAGGGTACAGTCAGCCGACCCAGGGCAGCAGGATTGGGGCAGGGACAATTCTGTGGGTGACTGGAGGACGGAGCCCCATGAGACACCGCAGCCAGCTTTGGAACGGCCTTAACCAAGACAGGCGAGGGGCATTCGCTTGGAGAATCGGGGACCTGGCAGCAGAGGTCGAAGCTGCCTGCCGCCTCGGGCCCCAGACCCATGTGTGTGTCCAAGATGAGCTGCACACTCTCACACACACACACACACACACACACACACACGTACATGCGTGTGCACACAGGTGCCACACAAATACACGTTTGTACATATCCATCCCCACCGGCAGACTCAGCACACACACATACACGTACACACACGCACCCCAGGCCAGGAGTGTCCCTCAGTCCCACTCTCCAGCAGGGACTTGGCTGGAGGAGTTGTGCTCCCACCCCGCCCTCGTCTTCCCATCTGCCATGGAGAAAGGAGAGCTGGCCTTGGGGACGCCTGGAGCTTGGCCCTACTTGCATGTCCTGGGGCCCCTCGGGGAGCCACGCACGGATAGAAGAAGGCATATGAGCTCAAGGCCACAGAGCCTGCAGGGGCCAGTGTTCTTGTCCTTGCTGGAAGATGAATCTGCTATGCTCTGTGCTAATGCAGGCTTGGGATGGTGGAGCCGGGGTTCCGATCCTGTCATCTCAACCCAAAAGTGACTGTCCAGTGAGCGCACAGGCAGCATACAGTGACGGAAGCCCTCTTTACTATAGACTGGACCCATCCAGTGAGCCCTGGCTGGCCACAGGGCCATGGCCACCTCCTGCCAGCTCCCTACCCTTCTGTCCCTTGCTCCTGGATCCCGGGGTTGGTCTCTGTCTGTGGGTGAGATCTTCTTTGGACTCAGCAAGGACGGGAACAGATGGAAGCTGTCCTGCCTTCTGGTCCAAGTGGTCTGCCCCTGCTCAGCACCATGGAGCCAAATGAAGATGCCACATGGGTGGGTGGCAGGGAGACTCTGGACACATCACCACCACCACCCACAGCCCAGGCATCTGTGGCCTCTGTGTCCCCCCACAGTGGCAGTTGGACCAGGAGCCACCCAAGGTCCTAGGAGATGACCCTCCTGCAGGCCCTGGGCATGGACTGGGCTTCTCCTCTGGGCTGCCAGTTTACCACTCGGGAGCCAGGCAAAGCAGCCTGGCTGGATGTTAGGGAAGTGGCCTGGTGACTCCTCAACACCTGGTCCTGCTGCTGAAAGGGTGACCCTGTCTTGGGCCATGGCCAGTAAAGCCCGGCCCCTCGGAGGTCCCCAGAACTTTACCCATTGGAAGTGGCTTCCTGTTTCTGTGGACAATCCTTCCTCCTCTTCCTTTTATTCCTCCTCCTCCTCTTCATTCACCTTTTTCTTCTTCACCTCCTCTTACCCTGATTCCTCTCCTTCTATTCCCCCTTCTCCTTCCCTCCTTCCACTCCCTCTTCCCATGGTTCTAACCCCAATGGCTGCACAAACACAAGCTTCCACCCAGCATCTCCCATGTGCCTGCCCCGCCCTGCAGACAGCACAGATGCCACCTCTCTGACCCTCTGACAACTTTTACTCTCCCTTCCTCACATGTGGGGGAACTCAGCTGGAGAAGCAATATGCCCAATGCCCCAGAGGGAGCAAACGGCACAGTCGCCTGCCTCGGTGGCTATGCTTTGAACTCTAATGGTACGGAATATGGCCTCTGAGACATTCACATCCAAGTCCCCAGTTCTCCAAACAGGTCACTGTCCATGGCCAAAAGACTCTACAACCACCAAATTAAGGGTCTGAGATGGCAGCGATCCGTGATCGCCTCAGGGGGCCCAGTGGGTCACAGTGCCTGAGTGAGGTCAAAGGAGGGAAGTCAGAGACCCAGAGATGCCGTGCAGGAGGACGGGGTCGCCAGCCAAGGGACTCGGAGGCCTCCAGGAGCTGGAAAACCGAAGCGCCGGGCTCTTCCCTAGTACTTTGGGAGGAAGGAGCCCTGGAGTACTAGTTCTCACACTGACCTGCAGGACTCAGAGAGTAGAGCCGAGACATGTTGCACACCAGGGCTGTGGTGCAGGTGACAGCAGCTGCCGACTCTGTGACACAGGGCCCTGGTCCCCCTCTCCACTCTGACCTCCCAGCAGGCCTGGCTCCTGTTTCTGGAAAGAGTTCATTTCAGGGCAGCACAGTTTGAGGAGCACAGACTGGTGAATTTGTAGAATGTCCATCATGATGAAAGCTCCCTGTTCAGGCCAATGACCACAGCGGGGGTCATGTCTTCCCGGGGGTCCTATCAGGAGGACCTGAGATGTGTCCCATTCTTAGGATCACTTGGTAAAGACCAGGTCTGTCAGACTCTACTGAAAAGTTACCTTGTTTCATTTTGTTCTTGAGGTACTTTGAGGCTTTTTAAATATCTTGCTGCTCAAACTTTTACCCACTCATTTGAGCATCCACAGGTGACCTGTTTTGGATTCAGTTGTTATTATAAAGGCCCAATGATTTTTTTTTTATCCCATCATTCCTGCTGTTACTGTTATGAAGAATCTCATGAGATTCCCAAGCAGCTTCCAGCCTAGGGAGGGAGACGACCAGCAAACAAATATAATACATGGGGTCATCAGGAAGCACATTCCACAGAGGGAAGATCAGGGAGGCCTTCCTGGTGGAGGAGGTGCCCAAGATAAACTTAAAAAGAGACAGAAGTGAGGAGGAGACACCTTGCAGAAAAAAAGCAATGCAAAGTGGTAGAATGGAAGTGGAGCTCTGGAGGGGAAAGTCCAAAGAGCAGTACCCAGGCCTGCGGGCTGCCAAGCAGATGTGGTGTGTCCAGGGACAGAACTTGGGGTGGTGGGGTAAGCAGGTGAGGCCGGACAGGGCAGGGCAGGCAGGGTTGGGAAGTCAGTCAGGAAGTGGGACTTTCACTGTGGCCCTCCAAGGGCAAACACGAAGGCTCAGGGAGGAGAGGCAATGGGCCAAGGTCACCCTGCAGTGAGGATCTGAGCTCCAACTTGGAACACAGCAGGTGGGGAGGAGCAGCCTACCTTCTAGACCAAAGAGGATGCCCCACCCTGTCCTCGGGGAGCCCCCAGGCCAGACAGCTCCAACTGGGCCTCGGATCCTGCCAGGCAGCCCCTCCCCTTGGACTCCTGGGCTCCAGCCCAAAGAGGACAGGAGCGGCTGACTGGGAGACCAGGGCTGGCTTCACATTCTCAGTCTGAGGGTCACATCCTGGCAAGCACTGAGGCCCCGTGGGCAGCCAGCCTTTGGGCCCCTTGGTTCGGTCATTTCCCAGAGCATCCTGAGGTTAACTTTCTCCCCAGAGCAGCAGGAAGGGTCGGTTCTCCAGTGCAGAATTTCAGACCCAAGCCTCAGGTGATTCTATGGGGGGACTAGAGAGGAGCAGAGAAGGAAGCCAGACCCCCTGTGCAGGGACAGAGGGGACACAGAGGCCTTGGCGAGGCCCGGGGTGACTTTCAGCTGACCTGCAAGCCCTGGGAGGTTTCCCAGAGAAGGACAGCTGGGCTCTTCAGGGGCCAGAGGGGAGTCCAGGCTCAGGTTGCTCCTGCGTGCTTTTCCAGGGCATGGAGCAAGGGAAGCTGAGTGCGACTCACAACGTGAGCAGCCGATGGTCATGTGTCCACCCTGCCCAAGACAGGAAGAGGGCTCTCTCACTGGCCGGCAGATGACATCACGATCACACCTCAGACACAACCAGAGCCCTGAGCTGGCAGCCACGTCTCACATCCACCTGCCAGGCCTCTCACTTTACAATGAGGAGGGATGCGGGGTGGCTGTGGCTGTCCAAGGTCACAGAGCTGGGGAGGGAGTGGAAAAGATGAGGACACTTGAGCAGGGCCACTAGCCCCAGGTCCTGTGCTCTCAGGCAGGTGGCTCAGACTCTGGGCCTCAGCTTCCACTGCAGGGAGCAGGCAGAGGTGTGGCCACCTGCAGGGCTGAGTGGGGAACAGTGCCCATCACCCCTCTGGGTCAGCAAAGTCTCCCTGTGCCAGGGGAGGTGTGCAGACACAGCATGAGGACAGGTCCTGCCAGCCACATACTGGGGGAAGAGGGACTCAGAGAGGGCCCGGGCCATGTGGCTTTGGCCATCAGATGACACTGGGCTTTGACTTTGGAGGAGATGGGTGAACAGACCGAGGTCAAGGTGCTCAGAGTCTGGGAGGATGCTGTGTTGTCCCCCATCATCAGCTGGGGGCCAGAAAAGTCTTGCCCTCAGGTAAGAGTGAAGCTGGGAGCTGGATGTAGTGACTCACATCCATGATCTCAGCACTCTAGGAGACAGGCAGGAAGACTTCAAATTCAAGCCCAGCCTGAGCAACTTAGTGACTTAGCAAGACCTTGTCTCAAAATCAAAGGGGAGAGGGGCCTGGAGATGTATCTCAGTGCAAAGGCCCTGGGTCCCCAGAATTCTGCAGAGGGAAGCCACAAGCCCTGGACATCATGTGCCCACACTCACCCAGCCACCAGGGAGGCCCAGGCATGCAGGGGCCTGTGGGACAGGTGGCTGACAGGCCAAGGCGGGAGATGGCCCTCCCTGACTTCTCTTAACTTCAGGGGATGGGGCAGGGAGAAATGAGGTACGCACACAATCAGATGCACTCACGGTTGGGTTCTGCAAGCAGATGCTGAGCGCTGAACAAGTTGGCTTTTTTCTATAGTTGTTCCGTCTGTTTTGTTTTGCTTGCAGTTTTCTGAATCTAATAATTTTGGGGGAGACGCTAAAGAGCTCAGAATTTCAATCCCACCCTATGTCACTGGTTAAATCGTCCCACCAGCAGCGCACCTGTTACTGAATTGTCATTTGGACTTGCCGCCAGGCGCTCATCACAGAAATACTCAGAACAGACAGGGTCTGTGTGCCGCACAGGGCACTGTCATTTCCACTCAAACAGTGTCCTTGGTTAGGGCGAGGCTACCCTCAGCTTTGGCCATGTTGGTAGCAGTGTTCTGCGATCTGTGGAGATCAAATCTCAGGATGCTGTCCCCTGCTCCTTCCTCCAGGCTCTGGGCCGACAAGGACAGTGGATAGAAAGTCCCCGGTGTTTGCGCCAGTCACTGCCCTGCTCAGTGGCTATCCAGGTTCCCCACATCCATAGGATGAAGGCCCAGTTCCTGTGCCCACACTTCAGGGCCTCCGTGTGACCGGCCTGGATGTTTGCAGCTGCAGCCCTGGTCGGCCTGGGTTCAGGACCGATGCTTAATCCCAGGCAGAAGCAGGTCTGGTCTGCGTGCGACCTTCCTGTGAGCCGACCAGGTACAGCCACAAATGTGGGGAAGGCAAAGTCCCTCCCAGTCTGATGAGGGAGGCAAGCAAAGACCTAGGGGAAGAAGAAGGAAGGTAGGAGACAGAGGTTTGCTGAGGGCCCTGGGCCAGAGAGGCTGAGCCCTAGGCCAGCAGGGCAGGAGTGGCTCGGGGATAGCAGCTGCACGGCCCAAGCAGGGTGGACACCAGTGCAGCCCGCAGCACCCCGGCAGGCCCTGGGAGGCAGGGAACATGAGAGAGCTGAGAAGATGTCTGGGCAACTCCAGGAGACCCCAACTTGCTTGTTGAAGGGAAGTCAGAATTGGGGTCACTGGGTAGGAAAATGGGGGTCCTGCTTGGAAAGTGCCACTCGGCCTTTGGCTCCTACTTTGATCACTAGGTAGTTGCTTTGTTTTGTTTTAAAAATCAAACTCAGCACTAATGCTTGCCAAGATGGTTGATCAACTAATGCCTCACCTAGAATGACAGGCTCCCCCCCACCCTGTCTGTCCTCCCACCTGCAGATGCCGGCTCTGTGGTAGGTGTCACTGTCCCCTAGAGAAACACTGATCGCCTTCAAACACCATGCAGAATTAACCCTCATCCCTGGAGCCTCCCAGGCAGAGCAAACACCCTTCCTTCCCCAGGCGCGGCCCTACAGGGGCCAGCCAGGCCAGTAGGTGCAACTCCTGCTAGCTCTGCCACCCACGCCCTGCTCCTTGGCCTCCTCAAAGATCAAATGAGGCCCTTGTGCCAAAGTTTATATTCCATCCTGCAAGTCTCAACACAAGCCAAAGTGTTGACTTGAAAATAAATATTGGAGGAGAGAGAGGGGCATGGAAAGACAGAAAATGTCCTGAAGACTTTGCCACATTCCCAGTGCAGTGTCTGCCAGCCGACAGGCTCACCTGGGCAGGGTGGGCACCGGGCACCATGGGGGCCTTGGGCTTTCAGACCAATATGACGGGAAAAGAACAGCTTTGCAGACTGTCTCCGGGTTGCCAATGTCTTGGCGGGGCCACTCGAAACAAGCCAATCCCTATCAGCTTTTACTGCCACTTCATTTAAGAAACTTCCGCCAAGAAGAGGTGTTTCAATAGTAAAAAAATATGAAGGCCTCATCTCAGGGAGAAATGGGTAGTTTGTTCTTTTTTCTTGCTTTCTTTTTGTTGCAGTACTGGGGCTTGAACCTGAGGCCTTCACACTGAGCTACATCCCCTGCCTTTTTTAATTTTTGAGACAGGGTTTTGCGAAGCTACTACCTTGCCCAAGTTGGGCTCAAACTTGTGATCCTCCTGCCTCGGCTTCCCAAAGCGCTGGGATCACAGGCTGTACCCCCACCCCTGGCTAGGGGATTTCTTTAAATCACCTAGATGGAGCTTTCTACATTACTCTCCACTATGGCATTTTTTCCCCCACTTTGCCAGACTAGGAAATCTTTGTCAAACATGCCCTGTCCCTTCCAGGGGCTCGGGACTGTGGTCCAGTTCCTCCCTTTAGTGAGCACCAAGACCTGGTGACACTAGCACACACACACACACACACACCCTGCTCCACTCAGCCCTGCACGCACCTAGCTGCTTCGTGCTCAAGTTCAAAGTGCCCAGGGAGCTGGCAGAGGCCTTCTGTGAGGGCAGACGGCCCAGGGACAGAGGGTCACGTGAGGGAGCACCCGGCCTGTCTTCAGGAGTGATGATTCTGGGTCAGCATCTCGGGTGGTGACACAGGACAGGGAAATGAACATCACAAGGTGGTCTGAGCTAGACAAGAGACACATGGGGCTCAGGAACTGGGGGTCCCATGCAGCAGTGGAATGGTGCCAAGGGGCCTTCCTGGAGGTGGTGACCTGGGTACAACCGTCAGACTGGTGGTCACCGTGTCAGGAACAAGACCTGCCTCTCAGCCCCTGGCCCTTCCTTTTCCATGAGTGCCCTCCTCACCCACCATCAGGACCCTTGAGGCTGGCATTGCTGCCCTGCTTGGTAGACAAGCAGGGTCAGCTCAGAGTCAAGTCAAATGGCTGTGGTTGTAAAGTGACTGCAAGCTAGAGCAAGGACTCATCCAGTTCTGTTAGGGTCCAAATCCGAGCCTCTGCTGACTAATATCACGGGGCTTACTGGGCAGAGGCAGTGACGTGAATATATATTTGCATACACAGCCGTCCCCATTCTCTGTGGGGATCCACCATCCCAAGACCCCCAGTGGGTGCCTGAAACCTCAGTATGACACCCCACACTCGCCACCCTCCTGCCTCAGCCTCCAAGAGTTTCTGTAATACTCTATATTACTTCTGAATACTGTTACAAAAGTTATGTAAAATATGTGAATTGTTTATTCTGGAGTTTTCCATTTAATAGTTTCAGGCTGCAGCTGACCACAGGTAAGTGAAACTGCAGAGAGAGAATCCACGGGGAAAGAGGAGCTCTGTTCCACACGCTTGAGGGCCCACATCTGCCTTATGTCGCCATCCCCCACCTGGCTGGCCCCTGCCCGGGTCATCTCCGTGCAGAGTGAGGCCTCCTTAGGGTTGGAATCCTTCAGAACATTGAAATCAGACTCCCCTGGCACTTGGCAGATAACACTGGGCCAGCAGCTCCAGGTGTGTGCCTGGCATGGATAGAAGACATTGGTGACATGGCCTCCACAGCCCATGCCAATGTGGGATAGAGTCATGTGTGCCCAGAGGGAGGCCACCTGTCTCCAGGGAGGGGAGAGGAGAAAGAGACAGGCTTCTCTGGCTTCCCCAGGACCACAAGGACAGACACTGGGTCCCCGAGGATCAGAGTGCCTGCAAACTTTGGCCAGGGCAGGTTAATCATCAGAGGGACGGCACGTTAATCATCAGAGGGGCGTGCAGACCCCACAGACCTACAGTGCGCATGCAGCTTTGCCCACCACCGCCTCAGTGACAACACTGCTTGCTGAGCATCTCTTACTGTCCCTGTGGATGGAGTCTCACCTGCCCCTGCTGGGCAGACTTGCCTCTGGCTCACCGGTGCCCATCTGGTCTGCTTCACCCATTTTTCCCCTGCAGCCTGGCCCCTCTCTCCTGTGAGGCTTTGGACACTGCTCCTGCCACCTCCTGGAGCTCCAGGGCCAGGACAGATGCTGAACACTGTGGGCTGGCTGAGGCATGAGCCACCAGGTGGCTTCGGCACCAGGCAGTGGCTTGGGTGCCTGAGCAGAGTGGGTTTGAATGCTGAGAGGTTCCCACTGCCTCTTGGAGACTCTGGCTAAGAGCTATCATCCCTGGCCTTGGTTTCCCCACCTGAACAACAAGGGCAGAGATGGCTTTTCAGGGTTGTTGTAAGTCTCTTGCCTTAAAGAGAAAATGCTTTGTTCCCTGAATCAGTGAGGATTTGATGTTGGGTCCTAGAGCAGCATCCAGGCACGTGGTCATGGCTGGCTCTCCACAGGGTCCAGCCTCAGGCCACAAGTGGCTCCCTGTTTGCCATCAGCAAATAAAACCTACCCCTGTCCTGTGGACTTCCACCACCTGACCAGGGCAGGCTTCCAGGGGCTCAGAGGCCACTGCCTGGCAGATAACACCCCCGGACACAAACTCCAACCTGACAGGAGGCTCTGCAGCTCAGTGGAGGGCAACCAGGGACCCTTGAAGGTTGTGGATGATTCTTGGGCAAACAGACACAGGGCCCAAGTAGACCCCAGACCCAGGGGAAAACACTATTGGGAGGGACTGGGCCACAGTGCCATCTGCAAATGCTTGCTTCTAGCGTTGGCATCTAACCTGTCACCTACATGGATGGCAAAGCCTTGGCACTGCAGGCCCCTGCCCTCCTCTGGATGTCCCAGCCTCCTACTCCGGCTGTGTTGGCAGATAGGAGCACGAAGCAGTGGCTTGATACACAGGCCTGGTTCTCCCTGCCTGTTGCCTTATTGAAATGTGGGCACAATAATAATCATCTTGCAACAGCTCAGAACATCTTCAAGGTCACAAAATGAGGAAAGGGGTCTCAGATATCAAAAGAGCTGGGAGCTAAGATAGAGGTCCTAACATGGCAAGGAGGATACTCGGGAGGTACTCAGAGATGTTTCCAAGAACACTGATGTGTCTCTGGGGTCAGAGATTTCTACTCACTCCCTGCACGGGGTCATTGCTCCAATGTGTGCTCCTATGCCTTCACAGTGAGGGAAAGAGGGATGGAGAGGTTTCCGGAGCAGGCTCTGGTGCCCTTCGTGACAGTTTCTCCCATGCCGGGGGTACAACAAAGTCCTTTACCTCTCTCTTCTGAAATAGTTTCCCAAGAGAGATTCAGAGTCCCCTGGGCCAGCCAACCCAGCACCATTTCTTGCTAAATTCTCCCTGAGGAAAATCCTGAGCTTCCTTCTGCCTTCAATCCATGGCCGAGATAATTTGTTCCAAAGTGACTTCTCCTGACACATAGTTAACAAATTTTCTCTCCCTAAAACCTTGGGAGCATCAAGAACCCAAGAATGTCATTTTCTGTGTCTGCTGAGCACACACAACTGCTCTGTCTACAGCCTGGCTCCTCATTCAGAACAATTTCTGCCAGATCTTTCCAGACCTTGAATCGGGTTCACGGCTGACCACCTGGGAAGGGAGGCCTGATGTAACCCGGGCTCTAAGGGACCAGGCCTGGGGCCTGGGCTATGTCAATGAGGTGAGCCCATAAGCTCAGAGGGACAGCCTCTGGTCAGCCTCCCTGGCTTCTAGTTCCCTGGCACTTACCACAATCCGAGGATTCCTGCAAACTCTGGAGGCTGCTAGCAGGAAAGTCACTGCCAGCAATAAAAGTTGGGCTTGCTGGTGGGCAAGTGGGAAGGTTATATGGGAGTCTGGAGGGTGGGGCAAAGTTCGCCACAGTTACAGGGTTATTTAGCAAGCGTGAGTTTAAGAGAAGCTTGTGAAAGGGCCAAGTAGGGCCTGGGTTCCAGCTCCCCTGCGTAATTGGGATGCGTGTTTGAAGTTTCCTTCCTGGGCTAGGTCCTCCTAGCGCACGCTCTGTCGTTGCCACAAATAGCATGGTGGCAGGCGCAGCTTAAGGACAGCGAGGGGGGCTGGCATAGCACACATTTCGTTCCCTGAAGAGGGGCGCCCCTTGCGCTGGCACCCTCCAGGCCTGCCGCAATGGACTCTGGACGGGGCACTGGGGGATTGGGGGGGCTCGAAGAGGCTCTGCAGAGCCATCCTTGTCCTCGAATTGGCTGTCTGGCCCCGACCTCCTGCCGTGCTGGCAGCGCCCCAACCTCTGCTGGGCACCGAGTCAGCCCTCGCCCCGGAGAGGGGCGGCTGGCTCGGCGGCGGGCGGGGCGGGGCGGGGCCGGAGGGTCGGGGCCGGTGCCTCCCAGCCTGTCCGCGTTGCCCTTCAGCCTCGGTCCCCGAGGCCACCGAGGGCGCGCGCTCCACCCTGCGCCTGGCTCTGCTCGCTGGGGCTCCGTGGACGAGGTCCCCCAGCTCTACCCACCCACCTGCGTGATTCCGAGACTCGCGGGCGCAGGCTCCGAGGTCCAGACTGGCTCGTCACACTCAGGTCACCAAGCGGGACCTCCGCGTGCGCCCGCCCCCGAGCGGACCCTCAGCCCGCCGGTGCGTTCCCTCGCAGCGCTTTGCCCGCCAGCCAGGTGACCTTTGGGAGTCCCTTTGCCTCTCCAGCCTCAGTTTCCCCCTCAATGTCGTGCCCGCGGAGCAAGGAGTGGACCCGCTCCGAGCCGCCCCCCGGAGCCCGGCCCCGCCCCTCCCTCATCAGCCAATCGTGATCCTCCGTCCGGGGGTGTGTCCCGGGCGGGGCGGGGCTTCCGGGGCGGGCTTGGGGCCGTGGGGCCCAGCCGGGGGCGGTGCGTGGAGCGGGGGTGCGGCTGGCACCGGCTCCGGGGCGGCGCTGGGCAGGGGCCGGGGCGCTGCTGCCCACGGCGGGGCGGAGGCGGCCGCGAACCCTGCCCGGCGCCGCCTCCCTCGGCGCGCGCCCTACAAACCGGCGGACTGTGGCCCAGGTCCGGGGCGCGCAAGGGCCGGGCCGGTCGGGCGCTGTCCCGAGACCCAGAGGGTGGCGGGCGCAGAGGGGACGGGCGGCGCATGCGCGCGGCTGTGGCGCGGGGCCGGGCACCCGGGGGCTATCTCGCGCTGAGTACTCGCGCGGGCGTCAGGGGCCCAAGAAGCAGCGCCCTGCTCCGTCCCGTTCTAGTCCCAGGGACCTGCCCAGAGCCCAGCGTCCGCGGCTGTCGGTAGGGTTGGGGGCACCACGGCGACACCGGGCCCTCGGGTGTCGCCTGGAGGCCAGCCCCACTGGCGGGGACCTCGGGGCGCCCCCGGCTGGGCCTGCTTCCTGGGACCTCTGCTCCCCGGTGGGGTAACCGAGGCTGAGGTCCGTACGCCCTGCGCCTGCAGCTCGGAGTGGAAACCCAGGCGCGCTGTGGTGTCACCAACGGCGGGCCACCTTCGAGGGACAGTGCTCATTTGGCACCCGCGAGTAGTGGGACGACCCCGGGCACCCAGGAGGACGGGCTTGGCTGGGTAGTGTGGCAACTGCGAGAGCCTCAAGACGTCCCTCCGGGCCGTCCCAGGTGCGCCATGCCGGCGCCCAGGTCTCCTCCTCTGTGTCCTTAGACCCTCGAGGCGAAGCCAGACCGGCGCCCTGGGCTGCTAGCCGAAGTCAGGTGGGTAGACTCTGCCCCACTGCACGCCCCTGATTTTCCCATGCCTTTTTTTTTTTTTTTAAGGAAAAACGTGTGCCCCAAATGTCAAGAGTCCTTCTAGGAAAAATCCCAATTGTATTTGGTCTTGGGCTTCAAGGGGCGCTCTGAGACCCTAGGGACCACATACTTCCCTCAACCTCTGCCTCTCCCCTGACCCCCAAGGAAGCCAGGCAGGGCCCTTCCCTCTTGGGACTGCTGGGCACTGGATATGGGAAGAGAGCTTTCCTGGACATGACCCTGGACACCCTGTCCACCCTGTTGTTGGGAACAGCAGGGTCGCCATGACTTTCCTCTCCCAAGGTGGTGGAGAACTGGGGGTGGGGGTGGGGGTCCAGAGAACCTATCATTTCCTCCTTTTCCATATCGTAATCATTTCCTCCTTTATCTTCCCACTGCCAAGGCTGGAGTTAGAGGCCCTGCCTCCTCCGTGAAGTGCCAGTTTGTGGCAAGTCCTGCTCCCAACCACGAAGTTGTCACCACAGGTAAGTGTAAGGTGTGAGTACCTGTCACCAGACAGGACTGTTTTGAGCATCTGCTTCAGTTGCAGTACAGACCTGCAGTTTGAGGGTTAATTATTATTTTTTATTACAATGTTAGGTACATGTTCAGGGCTTGGTGAGGAAGATATATGTGGATGGACTCCCTTCTCAGTGTTTGCAGGAGCTTCATTTCTTCACAGCAGCCTGGCTTTGTGTAATTTAAAAGGAGATAAGATGACTTTAAGCAATGTTGTTACTTACTGAGCTTCTAAGTTTTAAGACCAGCGTGCTGTCTCTTGCTGTCTTCACTTTAATTTGTGTGACCAGCTGGTGGCTTGTTGGTATCAGAGGTCACCTCTAGAACTGCCACCAGCCAGGTCAGGGGTGGCCCCCCAAATGGCCTCATGATAAACATTCCTGCGGTAACAGTCTGTGGAAGACCAGAGGCAGCAGGCCTGACAGAGTCTTGTACAGCTTTGAAGCAAAAGTAAATTGAAGGGAGAAAAAACGTTTTCCTTTTCTTTTCCAGCATCTTAAATCTACAATGAGACATGGCATCATCATAAAATACTTCCTCTTAGCTGGCTGATGTTTGTCAGATCTGTAACAGTTTTAAAAATTAAGTGTGTTTGTGAGAGAGAGGAGGATGAAAAAAGACATTTTCTTTCCCTTTTTTTGGTTTTGTTTTGTTTTGGGGACAAGGTCTCACTACGTAGACCAGCCTGGCCTTGAACTTGAGGTGATGCCCCTGTGTGCTGGGATTATAAGTGTGTGCCACCATGCCCAGCTTTGACATTTTCCTTCTGTATGGAAGGAAAATACTGTTGACATTTTCCTTCTATGTGCATACCTTGTAGCATACCCCCTTTGTAACTTGCTTTATTGACTTTTAGCTTAAGCAAAACTTTCTATGTGAAAAAAATTATTTCTGCTTCACCATTTAAAAAGACTATATAATATTCCACAGTGTTTAGATACAATACTGTCATTCTTTAGTCAATCCACCTATGTGTATGAATACAGAAAATCAATTATATCTATAACTTGTTCACACCATCAGTATTTATTGGGAAGCTGCTAGGGCCTGCTGGGCCCAGACGTGAACAAATCACCATGGCTCTGCTCATGACACTGATTCTCATGCCAGGATGTAGAAAAGAAACTGAATGATTGCTCTTGTCATGGTACAGGAGGGGGACACAGAGCAGAGAAGGGAGCCGTTTCTGCCAGGATGTCCTATTCTTTTGGGATTGGTGACCGGTGCACTTTTTTGAGCATCTGTGGGTTTATAATAAAAATGCTTTAAGTAGCTTTTTTTAAAATGCAAGAAAATTTTTACCTGGAATAAGTTTTAAACACACCGAATTTTCTTCCCCCTTTCTGTCCTCTGTGTCTCTGTGAACAGCTATGTCCTTGGTGGCAGATGGGATGGGTGGCTCAAGTGGCCAGAATTTTTGTTTAATGTTTGTCCTAATCCTGTTGCTTTGCCGATATAGGATGTGGCCCATGGGATTTCCGCTTTTTAAATTTTTGTTTTGAAATTTGAGGGTTTCTTATTAATTTCTGTTTTTGCAGGCTTCATGTAAAGCCCATTTTTCAAAAGCTCTGTAGGCGCTATTTAAAAATGCAGTTTCTGTGTGAGGGGTAGACATTCGCTGTTTCTGTTATTTCAGCCTTACTAATGTATAGAACAGGCTGTGTCACCTCTAAGGCCGTCGTCGTCGGGGGGAAAAATAAATGCAGAATTTCAATGTAGAGCTTGATGATTAGTGGTTTCTATTTTGTTATGTGTGTGTGTGTGTGAGATGGGAATTGAACCAAGGCCTTGCACACTCAGCATACCCTGTAGCACTGAGCTCTACTCTATCCCTGAGATGGGTGAAGGTAACAACCAGCTAGGAAAGGCTCCAGGTGTTCCATGGAGGGCTGTATATACAAAACTTGTTACTTTTCCCAGGATCCCTTGTGTAGTACAGGCTTCTTATCCAAGGAAACATCATGCGTTGGATTTTTCAGCCAAGGGCGTAACAAAGTCTGACTTGCTGGTTCCTTGGAGGTGTGTGTGTGTGTTCATTGCCCCTGCAGCTTCATCACTTAGCATCTTGTGACACTGCAGTGTCCTGGGGAGTCGGTGCACTTCACTGGGTGAAGCCCTTCCTTCTGCGAGGATGAGGGTGGCCCTGCGAGAGATCTTTGTAGTTCTGCTGCGTTTGTTTTGAGGCCTGAATAGGATGAAAGAAAGAGTATTTAAACATTATGGTTTGCTCCAGGGAGCAGTGTGATATAGTAGGAGAGGCATTAGCTGTTAATCCTGAGATCTGGATTCTGAGCTGCTGGATGCCAGGCCGGAGACCTGCAGAAAACGGAATTCCTCTCTGGGCCACCTCTGAAGGGTTGTGAAGCCCCACAGTGGCCTACAACACTATGCTTGTCCCCAGAGGTGCCAGGGAGGAAGGACAGGCCCTGGGCTGTTCTAGTTTCTCACCTAGCCAAATCTGGTGCCTGATTTGTGTGCGTGCGTGTGTGTGTGTGTGTGTGTGTTTCTTTTTCTCTTGTCCTGCTGGACCCTGAACCCAGGCCTCCCACGTGCTAGGCAAGCACACCACCACTGCACTACCTCACCAGGCCTCTCTAGTTTTACTTTGAGACAGGGTCCCACCAGGTTTACCAGGCTGGCCTCAAACTCTCAATGCCCCTGCCTCAGCCTCCCAAATAGGATTATAGGTGTACACCACTGTGCCTGGCTGTCCGAGTTGTTTGTGTTCTCACCATTTTAAGATCTTTCAAAGGCTTTGGAAAGAAACACACTCACCACTCTACCCCACTCCCTGTACACACACACACACACACACACACACACACACACACAATTTTTTTTAGAATAGATGAAGGAGCACTCTCTACCAGTAAAAACAAAGTTATTGTGAGTGTTTCCGGTTGGTTTCAAGTGTGAATGTGATGCCAGGTTTTGGTAGGGATCCATCTGCCCGTGTCCTTACCCCAGTGTGGCCAGCCCATGCTGCAGGTTGTTCCTCCTCCTACAGGGACCTGCCTATATGTAAGCTGGGCAGGGTCTCCTAGGTCATGGCTGCCTGCTGCCTGGCACCTGGGTTCCTTGTGCGTCTACCTTTCCTCCTGCCTTTACTCTGTGAGGACAGAGTGAGCATATTTACATCTGCCCTGGTTGTTCTGTGTACCGAGCAGGTACTCATACGTGCTCATTGAATATGCAAATGACTGATAGAATTTAAATCAACACGAACTTACACCTAGTGCTCAGAGTGGGCAGAAGCTGGGGTGGGCACCTATGAATGTTACTTTCTTCTGCAAGATCATGGATTCAAATGCCAGACAACTGACTTAGCAGGACGGGATCAATTAAACCTTTGTGCTTTGGGAAGTGCTTTTATTTAACAGTAAGATATCCTGGGAGGAGATTAGAGAAATCAGTAGTTCAGTGTTCCAGGATGCAGGACTCCTCTGACTGCTTTTACACCTCTCTGTTTGAAGAGATCTGCAAATAAAGAGTGAACATTTCTCATGGAAGCCACTTGCTTGTACTCTTAGCTTAGTGGCCACAAGGGGACTTTTGCAAAAGCATAATTTTAAATAGTAAGTTGGGGCCAGAACAGAGGTGGGCTAATTGTTGTGGAGTTTAGGGAGCTTCTTAGGACGGATTCAAGATTAGCATAGGGTTAAGTGGGAGGTGGCCCCCAGGCGCCCTGAGAATATTTGTAACTGAACAGTCTGTGGTTATGTGATAACCACACTGACAAGTCACCAAGTGTGAGTGGGAGAGACCTAGGTGTTAGAGGTCAAGCTACGCACGTGTCTCCTCCTGCCATACGCCCAGAGGTTAGTGCCCACTTAACGTGAGCGTGCAGATGCGTATTTACAACATGGACCATAAAGAGCACGCTTGCATGCTCAGGTGACAAGTGACTCTTAGTGTTCTCAGAGCAATTCCCCTCCTGTTCCCTGAGTGTGAAGTGCGGGTGTGTGGGTGTGTGAGCAGCATTTCAGGCAGAGTTCCTCATGGGACCAGACGATCACTGGGCTGCCAGGTAAGCTCACGATACTTCGTCTAGCACCACAGAGAGTTATTTACAATCAGGAGGCAGGGCAGTATTGACATGTCCAAAGCGGCCTCCAGCCAAACGGCTTATGCGGAGAGTATTTTGCTTGAGTGTTATGATTGCCCCTTTTCCACTTCGAAAAACATTACAGGCAAAGGGACACTGAGTGCCCAGCTCGCCTGAGACTCACAGGCAAGCATCCGAAGTGCTCGGATGTGCTCTCCTCTTCCTTCAGAAAGCTCATGGCTGGGGAGTGATTTCCAGAAAGGAAGACCTTCTGTGGCTGTTGCTTTCAAATTGTAAGAATCAGCCTCATCCATTCTGCGCAGCAAGCCCTCCTGAAAGGGGCAGAGCTGCGTGACAGCCGGGAAGACAGCTTTGAGAAGAGTTGGTGAAGCAAAGAGAAGGGTCTCAGTGCCTGAGTGCACCCCAAGCCCAAGTTCCTTGAGAGGAGCTGCTCTGGCATTGGCAGGGCTGGGAGAACTCATGTAGCCAGGCCTGTTGAGGACATCTATAATTCTGGCACTCAGGGAGGCTGAGGCAGGAGGATCAAAAGTTGGAGCCCAGCCTAAGCAACTTAGGGAGACCCTGTGTCAAAAAATGAAAGAGAAGGCCAGGGATTTAGCTCAGTGGTTCCGGCGCCTGCCTCGCAAGTGCAAGGTCCTGAGTTCGATCCCTGGTACCAAAAAAAAAAAAATGAAAGAGAGTGTGTGTTGGGGATGTAGCTAGCTCTGTGCAGAGGACCTGGGTTTAATCCCCAGTACTGAGAGAGCTAAAGATACAGAGAGAGAGAGAGAGAGAATATGCATGTGACAAGTGATGACAGGAGGAAGGGTGAAGGTTGGTGCTTGGTGCGTGTGTCCAGAGCAGAGAGGATTCTGCACGTGGGGGAGATGGCGGGGCCAAAGTGGATACGCTTGGTGATGG